TGGACCTGATTTATAGATCAACAACCCCAGGCCTGCCGGAACAGCTAGATTTGGGTGGCTTTTTGGAAGGCCGCGAGAGTGGGAAGGGTCCGGATCTCTGCGGGTAGTTTGTTCCACAGAGCCGGAGCAGCTACAGAAAAGGCTCTCCCCCGAGTGGTTGCCAGCCGGCATTGTCCGGTCCACGGCACCCGGAGGAGGCCTAGCCTGAACAAACATGTAGCCACGTAGGTTAGCCAAGTATTTTTTACCTGTACAAGAGAACAAAGTTAATAACTGAAAGTCTCACGCACGGAGATACAGGTATTGCTTGATATAATTTCTTCCGACTCACCAAGGGAATTGGGACTTAGATTAAGTTCTTAGACTTCCATTTCTCTACACCTGATTTAATCCATTAGAATTGCGAAATGCCTATTGGGCAAAATATGTCGAACTATATTATTTCCTTTGCATGTAATGCAATATGTGATTTTTGAATTAAAAAAAAAAAAAACTTAACGTTGAATGTGAATCTTTCTCTGGCAGGTGATGTTCCTGGGCATTTTCCGCTTGGTCAGCCTGTATTTTACAGCAGGTTTTGACAGCATTGTTCGCCGTTGCATGATAGAAAAAGAGAAATCTGAAAAGACAGACTGAAGTGGAACCATGCTTTGAACTGAATCCTGATTAGAAAGGTGGACGATTTGTTGTTAAATAGGGCCACAGAGATATATATTCTCATAGAGATATATATTCTGAAGTGATGGTAATCCTCAGTGGTGAAAGAAGGAAACAATGAACAATTCCAGAAAATGGGCTAATGGACAAGACTGCTCTTTTTTCAATTTTCTGTTATTTGAAATAATAGACATTGCCTTGGGAATGATTTTATGAAAGAGCAAAGCTTCAGAGTGCCCTTTTTACTGTTAATTCTGCACAAATACATTGTTTTAGCAGTGTTTGAAGTATTTGTTCAATGGTAAATTTTATCCAGAACTGGATAAACAACTTGGCATTTTTTCAATTGTTAAGGATTACAATTCTCACAGATGATTGCCATTGTCCTTGCTGTTGCCCCTCGCCCTCCTTTCCTGTCCCCTCCAAGCCTTGGAGAATGTATGGTTGCCTGACCAAAACTAAGATACAATTATCACGTTTCCGTGATGTAGAACAGTGGTCTCCAACCTTGGCAACTTTAAGACTTGTGGACTTCAAGTCCACAAGTGACTGGGACTGAGTTCCTCAGCCAGCTTTGCTGAGGAAAATGCGGATTTTCCAGGATCTCTGGTTTTCCCACAAATCTAGGATCGGGCAAACCCACATCCTTTCTCCCCCCCTTGGATAACTAACCCAATTTGTTAGTTTTTTGTGCGACAGGGCCAAGCAATCGCAAAAAAAAAAGCCTGGGAAAGGATGGAGGGATGCACGGAGGGGAGTAACCCAGTTTAACAATGCATCGTGGATATTCTGATGCTGGCTTAACCCTTTGGAATTAATTTAAAGGGAAGAGGGGGGGGGGTCAAAGCTTTGCTGGCTGAGGAACTCTGGGAGTTGAAGTCCACAGGTCTTAAAGTTGCCAAGGTTGGAGACCACTGATGTAGAACACAGATGAACTACCTCAAATCTAATCCTTATTTTGTCATGCAGTTGGAGTTGTCCGCCCATACTGACACTTTAAATAAACAAAGCTATTTTTGTACAATTTAAATTGTGGTTAGTTATATGAAGAAGACTTATATCAAATAGGAGAACTAATCTTTCATAGGAAAGTCCCGTTGGATTTAATACATCAGTCAAGAATTGGTAGATTTCCTCCAATTAGTTTCTTAGGACCTGGTCTAGTAAAATCTGGTAATTTCTGCTCTTGAGTGCATAGTTTTGTGAAGTATTATGTTCTGTTTTATTAAGCGCTAAACCTGAATGGCAGAATTTTATTAATATGTTCCGAAGTTTCCCTGTGTGGCAGCAATGAAGAATATTTTAACTGTAACAAATCTTCGGGAAAAATGAAGGACCCATGACTCTCTGAGAACCTGGGATGTCTGTGTGTATTTTTTTTCTATTTATGCCTTATGCCTTGACTATAAATAAAACAGATGTAATGTGTTGGCACAATTACAAACATTGTCTGTAATTTAATTCATACTTTACCAACTCAGGTGGGCTTACATTGTGTAATGCAAATGGAAAATTATGTTGTATGCTTGATGCTCTTAAACATTGCACAAGAACACGCTTGGGTTAATCCTGTGTGGTAACGTCACTTGTAATATTATCTTGAGGTTTTAAACATAGGATGTCAACATGTAATATTTTTAAAAAGCCTTTAGTGTAGCAATCCCCAAGCTTTCTAGCTCTGCGGACTGGCAGGGTGACAGGGCGTGGTTGCATGCACAACCTAATTCCACATGTGCGCAAATGAAGCTTTCCGCGTTCACCCACCACTTGCACAGCCTGGTTCTCAACGCACTGCAAACAAATACTGATCCGCGGACTGGTTTAGTGAACTTGTTTTGTTGCGTATACTTTCATTGGTGCCAACTGTTTGTTGATTTCAACAGTTTCATAAATAATTTCTGCTATATCTGTCATTTCCAAATACCAAATGAGCCGAGGTGGCGCAGTGGTTAAATGCAGCACTGCAGGCTACTTCAGCTGACTGCAGTTCTGCAGCGGTTCAAATCTCACCGGCTCAAGGTTGACTCAGCCTTCCATCCTTCCGAGGTGGGTAAAATGAGGACCCGGATTGTGGGGGCGATATGCTGACTCTGTAAACCGCTTAGAGAGGGCTGAAAGCCCTATGAAGCGGTATATAAGTCTAACTGCTATTGCTATTGCTACCTTGGTATTTTTGTTACATGCTTAACAGAATGTTTATATGATCCATTGTCATGTTAAACATAGGATAAAAATAAAGGGAGGGTTGAAGACAAAGAAGAGCTCACATTTTTAATATTACTTGGAGGAAATCTTGTGGGCCTTGACAGTTCAAGTCCATTACTCAGTCTTCTAAATTGTAATAACATTTTAAAACATTATACCCAATTCAATTAAACAACCACTCATACATACTCAGGTTTGTTTTTTTCTGTTTTTGTACACCAGCACAAAACGATGTGTGCATCTGGAAATGTATTATTCAGATACAAGGACTTCTGTATTTAGCCAACTCAGTTGCTAATTTGAAAGGATGAAGATGGTATAATCATAGTCTTCATGAGCCTTAAGCAATATACTCTTAACATCTCATGCACTTGAAAGTTCAAATTTCACTCCCATAAGTTTCAGATAAACTGTATGCTGGGAGAAAAGCAGCTACTTTTTTTTTAGAATGTTTTAATTGGAACTGTTAAATTAGAACCGGTTAACCTGATTGCTATACTGACCGTGTGCCAGAAGCTAGTAAATAAGGCACTTGGTTCAGCATTGAATTCTCCGTACTGTAAAAGATGTTAGAAATACCACAAACAGTTTGAAGAAACAAGACTCATTTGCATTTCATTTCTCCATAAAAGCATGTAATAAACTTGCTGAAACATACGAGTTTTTTTGTAAGGTCATTTATGGATGGATTCGTTTCTTCAATGTTGACCTAAACTCAGTTACTCCATAAACCAAAATATATAATTTTTTTTTTATTTTCAAATTTCCCCCTAAATAGTTCTAACTGGCTTTAACTTTATTTAAAATTATGGCTTGTATTTTATAAAAGTAGAGTTAATAATAAAGAAGACAATAGGTCATATATAAATGTATATACTGTGAAAAATGTTATGCACTTTTAATGTTGAATACAGATAAAACCCATTAGTGCTTAGCTTTTTGCTGTGCCAGAGTTGTTATGCATTTTCATATTTTGTATTTTATTAAATTTAAAAAAAAATACATTCCTCTGCGCCTTTCCTCAAAACTGGTTCAACTGGTTCTCCTGATCCTGCTGCGTAAATGTGTTTTTATTAATGGCTGTCATAGTTGTAAGGACTTAGAATACTTTCCTTTATTTCTAAAGAGATTTTTAAAATGAATTCCGAGAGGAAGTGGAGACAGCTGGAGGGCTCCTTCTCTCTCGTGTCTGCCATGAAAAAATATGGGGAGGGAATTTATGGGCCTTGTTCGCTGAGTTGGGCAGACAGAGGAGATTGAAATGCATTAGATCCCATCAGAGAATCCCAAGTACTATGGTGGTAAATGGGTGGAGAAATCTTCTGGATTGCTGACTAAAATTAAACTGCTGGGACAGGTCCCGCTCGGAGCAATGCAATAATCAATTGATTAACGTGACCTCTATTCTGTTGTGCTCATATTTTTCTCATGATCTAACATGTTATGATACCAATCACAAAGTCTTCTTTAACATATTTTTAAAAGGTATTGAAACATTCCATTGCATAGCAGTTGAGATCAAATCTCTTTTAAGCCATTTTTTTCTTGCTGGAAAATCAATGCTTCCAATTATTTGATAGCTAGTAGTCTAAGGGAGTTGAATTTTGGTAGGAAAATATTTTATATGATGGAATTATTTTTGTCCCTAAATTGTGATTCCCAGTTAAGGGAACCCGCCCCCTCTCTGTTTTATAGGGAAAAGAAAATGGCACTGTCCTATGCTAGTTTTTAGTTTGCTCACAATAGTGAAAAATTGGCAGATGCAACTCCACAAGCCCCATACCATGGCTAGATGCGCTGTCTCTTCTTAATTTTTTCCTACAGTGATGCTAAGAATTGAATTGTGATTGAATTATAAAGTCACGTCAGGGATCTCATAGATAAAACGCACTGGGCATTTTTATATATTCTGCCTTTCCTTAACATTTCTTTGCTCATACTATTTTAAAAAATATTATTTTAGCTTTTATTTTATAAAACAGGAGATCGCATGTGTATCACGAGTGGACAAATTTTGATGCTGAGTTTTGGCAGTTTTAAAAACCCAGCCACATTTTAAGCACTGACTGCAGTTGCATTTGGACAGCAGAAATCCAGGTAAGTGTTAGCGCGGTAAAGTGATAGACAAAATTCGCTGGGGAGGCAGGGTTTGACGTCGCAACGACACGATATGCAATCTTGGGGCTCCAGGATTGCTGTCGATATCTCTCTTGCAGGACGGTCCTTTTTGGATCTAAACCGTTCTGAAGGAACGGTGATAGAGAAGAGCATGTCCTGCTGATCTCAGGGAAATTGCAAAGTCCCTGATCAATCTAGGAGAACGCTCTTTTTGCCGGCTACAAGAGAAGCAGCCAAAATGGCTGCAGAAGGTTGGGACAGTCCCCTGAAATGGAAGCAGAACAGGAGAGATTGTTGAAATGGTGAAAAAAAAATCCTTATTATTAGAGAAGAGAAAGCTCAAAGGACTTAGAGTTAAAATAAAATTGAAGACAGAAGGAAGCAAGCAACGAATTAACCCTGGTTTAAAACTATTCTGCAATCTTTTTCACTTTAATTTTGTTTGTTTTCTATGGATGAACTTTTTACAAATGCCTCTTTTAAACTGGACTGGTCTTTTCCCCCTTCTTTCTCTATACTTTTTCCATTTTTTGTATTTGTGGATTAAAAGTTTCTTTCCCTCACAAGGCTCGGCCGGATTGTAATCTTTAAACATTTTTTTTCTTCTCTTCCGGAGTTCGGAGTTTAGAAAGAG